TAATCCGTATTTATGTTTTACTCCGAATTCTTCTGTTCTTCTAGGAATATCATTTTTTAATTTTGATAAGCTGTTTTCTTCTTCTCGCAGTATTTCTAAAATTTCATCCATTTGTTTTTCACGTTGGGTTTTCAGGATTTCTCTTATTTTTGAAAACTTTCCTCGTAAACCTCTAACTGTATAAAAAAACTAGTTCTCTTTCTGAAATTTCCAGTCCCAGTGACGAACATTTCGTTTGAAGTCCACGTGATCTTGCTATATAGTCTGAAACATTTTCATTTCAAGATTTTTCACTTCGTTACTTGCATCGATTTTTCGATCTTCTGTTTTATCAGTAAATGTGATTTGAATTTTTTTCCATAGAATTTTAGCATTAGTTTCGCTTGCGAGCTGAAGACTTAGGTCATCAGAAAGCGATAGTTGAATGTAAGCTACGACGTCATCATTGTTTAATGTCCATTGTTCCCGCAATTTTGGATCAACATTTCGTCAGTTAGCACATTTGCAATTTTCTTAAGTGCCAGCAAAGCCTTGACTTTAATACTCTAAAGATAGAAGTTGTCACTGTTCAGCAGTGGGATACACGGCAGATCTCGATTCATTTTGGAATCTAAACGATGTCAATCACGGCGAAACTAAGTGAAACTTTTTATTGCATCATAATTTTCAAAACCACAGCCGTTCTGCCAACTGCAGTCCGTGGATCGAAATTCAGACAGAAAATAAAAGTTTATTAATAAAAACGAAACAAACGCATACAAATTTAAAAAGAACGCCATCTGGGGATGACAACAAAATCTAAGCAAATTTTTATTATAAAAGACCAAGTAACAATTGGTATTGATTAAGAAGAAAAGGATTTGAACTACTGGGAAAAAAAACTTTCTCTCTGTACGTCGCACTAGAGCTGCACAATGGGCTATTGGCAACGGTCTGGGAAACATCCCTGAGGACCAATACCGCACACTCTCGGGCCCTACGCAGACTGATCCAAGTGGTCACCCACCACCCGCACACTGACTGCAGTCAGTGATGCTTGACACTGTGTGATAAGTCCATAATGATTTAAATACCATCCAAATCATACCACCCTTTTCGAACCTAATAAAAATAAAATCCCAACAGCAATAAATTTCAAAGAGTTAAGAAACAAAATTTATAGCAGATAATGAGTGACGAAATGAGAAAGATTTTACTTATAGATAAGGTATTATTTTCACTGAATAGAATAAAACACATAATTTCTGAGAGAAAAGAGAATTAAAAGAAAAAATATTAAATATTTTAATTATCTTCAAGAATATGAAAATAATTATCAATAAACAGTGGCGTTTAAGTATAGAATCTCCATATATCTAGTTTTTTACATTGAGAGTTGAGCTCAAAAGAGAGATTCAGTCACCGAAATGGCAGCGTGTCACTACTTTATTTATGTATCGAGGGCCTTTGTAGATACATTTTCCGAACCAACCACAGTGCTGATCCGTCCATGCTGTAAAATATCCGCTAAGGATATTTTATGTCATGAACGGATCATGGGTTCGAGTCTCCTTGCCGTCAGGCTAATCGTGGGAGTTTTTCCTCTCCATGTAACGCAAATGCGAGTTAGTTAGTTCCATCAGAAAGTCCTCCCTGATTCCCCTAATACTTGACCCAGGAGTTCCCTCGTCTTCTGGAATGGGTTCAAAATTACAAGGATACAGAGTTGAACATCAGTAGCCTTAAACTCAAAATTTGGTTGGCTGTTCAATGACGGTTATAAAATAAAATGACAGTTCAGGGTTTTTAACCAAAGCCATCACCACAGGTATGTTGCATGAATTATATTTTAAAATTGCTGCTTTGGATAGTATGGGAAAAACAAGGAATTTTTTCTCAAATATTAAGAATGAACCCTGTGCATTTTTTGAATTCCTTTTTACTACATACAATATATTGTCAGTAGATTTTTAATTTTAAACTTTTAATTTTTGCTTAATCAAAGGAACATTTCTTTGTATTGGCTTCGTAACAAATTCTAACCTATAGAAACGATTCAACAGTTTGTTAAAATTTAGAAATTTGTAAATAGATTCAAAGCACAACTATCCACATAACTTTTTATTTACACTTTATGATAAAACAAAATAATTCACAATAATATACACAGCACAAAATATTGTAATGAAAAACATTTAAATACATCTATGTATAAAATATACAAATAGGTTATAAAAACCCTGTAAGTGGCACAGCAAAAGATGAGTCTAGGACTAAGTCTGCAACTGTGTCATTTAAAAAGAAAGCTAATAATAGAGCAATAAAATTGTATTATAAATTTATATTTCCGACTCAAATGTATTTTTCAAAATTTATATTGAATTTCTAAGAACACACAGGTAAAAAAAGTTTACTTAAGTATGTATGCAAGCAATTTTTTATACATGGTGTAATGTTAAAGCCGCATAATTATAGTTAGCAAGTCATGAATGAAATTAATAATATTAAAATAACTAGTTTGTAGAAGTATTAGGAAGAGCGAAACGATCTTTAAGATCAATATTGGCACTTTCAAGCAAAGAAAATGAAGTATTAAGTGGATGAAGATTCTAAATGATATTTTAATGAATTTAAGTAAATAAGCTTTAAAGTTTATGCGTTTTTCTCTCACGGTACATTGATTTATCCCTAAATAAACAGAATTTTTATTTATTTTTTACACATCTGTTTCCATATGCATATTAACAAAATGTAAAAAGATACTTTCTCACAAAAAAATTCAGTGTATACAGAGTAAGATTATGGGTATTCTGCGTACACTGAATTGTTTATATCTTGCCTGTAAGCCTCCTATAGACAAAATTTAAAATTCATAACATTCATTTTAAATGTTTTTGCATCCACAATCTTATGCTATCTTTAAAATACCATACAAATGAGAAACTTTTTAAGGTTGAGTTAGACTGTTTTGTGAAAAGTGTGAGACTTCTTAAGATTCTCTTTCTGCCAAATGCACTTGAAACCTTCTTCCACTCCAAAAATAAAGAACATCTAACTAAAGAACCCTTCTTGCATATTGTCAGCAGCACTGTCAGTGACTATGATAACAGGGTTAAACTATTTCAAATATGGGTGTGGGGTAAACATTTAGCACAAGCTTTGATTCAAATATGCGAAAAAAGAAACATAGCTTAGAAATGCATTTTTTTTTTTCATTTTGTTTCCATAGCAGCAGACAGTCCTTGATTATGCAGTGGTAGCTTTCTTTGGTTAGTAGTACCTTCATCCACTGAGGAAAACTAAATGTATGTTATATAATTGAGTTAAGGTAAAATAAGATCTCTCCCCAAGGAATCTCAATTTTTTCTTTTTAGAAATGTCGTTTAGAACCTTCTTCCACTAAGATCTACAATGTTAATTGGCCACTTTGATGTTAAAATTCTTTTTTGTAGCAATAAATAAATTATTAAAATTATAAAATACTTAAAAATTTTTCACATTCCAGCAACCACAAGTCAGAATATTTTTTAATGAAATATGTATTTCAACATTATATTTTCCTAGTAATGATTTAGTCGAAACCTGTAACATGTTTGTATTCAACCAAGAGCTTATTATTTATTTAATATTTCAGTAATTTTTATGAAATTAGAAATTATGTATGTAAAATGTCAATGAAAATATAAAAAGGTGTATATTATATATATATATACACCGAAGGGCCATTGCATTATGACCACCCTCCATCTACAGCAATGGGCTCGCCCAGGTTTTCATGGTTTCTCGCCCAGGAACAATGTTTTCATGGGGCACATTAGGACCCATAATCCTCATAGAACAATCCCTGACGTCTGTAAGCTACTTGAACATAGTTGCAGACCAGGCTCAACCATTCATGGCAACAGTTTTTCCTGCGGGGGATGGTGTTTACCAACAGGATAATGCACCATGCCATAAGGGTCAAATCGTCATACATTGGTTCGAGGAACATTCCAGTGACTTTCAAGTCATGTCTTGGTCCCCAAATTCACTTGACCTTAATCCAACAGAGCATTTGTGGTCCTACTTGGAAAACCAAATTCGTGCTGCTACACTACCCTCTCGCAATGTGAGGGAATTGCAGGACCAGTTGGTGAGCGCTTGGTACCAGATACCTCAGACTACCTATCAGCACCTTGTGGAATCAATGCCACGGCGGGTGCTAGCAGTTTTGAGGGCTAAAGGTGGTCCTACACGTTATTAGCAGGGTAGTCAAAATGTAATGGCTCTTCGGTGTATACATATATATATATATATATAGATATGCATCTATATTCTAATAACAATATATTGAATAAATTATAAAAAAGGAAATTTGCTTTTACAGATAATTACAAAATTACAAGTGTTTTTCATTAAGCATGAAAAAATTTGAAATACAATAACTAAATGCAAGAATAAAGAAATATGTTTCTTTGCTGAACATTTATACAGTTGATAACAGTTCTTTTTTAATAATCATAATTTAGTTTATTTTACTAAACTTTGACTAAGGCAAAAGCCAAAAACTGCCAAACTAGAAGCCGCTGCTGACCTGTGCTGCTAAAATTAAAACCTAATTAATTCTTTTTTTTTAAAAATAAAAGAATGAAAAAGATTTTAATACTGTTATTGATAAAACAATGAAAAATTTTCATTCTTCACATTAAATGATTCCAAATTAATTTATAGTATTCTTTTTCTAAAATTAGTATATTCAGAGCTTCTAATTAACTGAATTCGCTAATTAACTTATCTGCTAAAAGAAGCTAGATCGTTAAGGGTTCTACAGTTGAAATAAAATGGGAACTGCGGATTTAGAAAAAAACAAACACTATTTTTTTATAAATTTCTTATAAAATAGTAATAATGTTAATGAAAAATATTCTTATAATTTCATGTCGCAATTTTCGGGTACATTTAACAGGGTGCATGTTTTCTTTAATAAAATATTAAAAATTTTTTTAAAAAACATTGAATTATTAATTCACTGGAAATATATCTGAAACTTTCGTAACAGATATTAGCAAATGTTTTTTTAGGAAGGAATATTGCAATCCACCACACTAGCTTAAATCATCCACTTTTTCACACATTCATACTAAATGCATTTAAAACAAAAAAAAGAAAAACAAACAAGATATTTATAACAGAAAGCACCACAAGGAGTATAGATTTAAATAGGTATGACCATACAACTGCTTAAATGCTAGGAACTATATGGACACTGATGAAGATTCTGTTTATAGCATCAAATTAACTGTACTTTCCGACTTAAAATTAAATAGTAAGTTACCTACTATTTAATTTTTTTCGCCCTAAAAATAAACTTCTTCACAAACAAAGTATTGCAAACACAAACAGTGGAGAGAATAAGGCTTGGCCAATCCTACACTGCAGGTTATTCCAGTCTTCTTAAAAGTACTTCCACATGTACAATGAAACAAGAAAATGTCTTAGAAAAATAAGCCTCGATACATATTGTGGACATATGAGCTCAGCCTTTTGCCACAATATAATAATAATAATAATAAAATAAAAATATTACTACGAAGTTGGGAAGTCCTTAAGGATTCCAGTAATTGTAGAATATACTTAAGTTGCTATGCCACAATTATTTTTTTGAACTGACTATATACAGATTCCATGAATAAAAAGGATGTTGTTCCAAGACTTTAAAAAATGCGAAAATTGTGATTTCAAAATGCATATGCGATACAATGATGGAAGACATACAAATAACTAAGTCCTTCGCTGGTGAGCAACAACAGCCTTTTTTAATAGGCGATTTTCTTGCATTAACTCCTCTATAACTTTCAGCATAAATTCACAGCTCGAAGAATTCAGATTCCCAAACATGTCCTGAAAAGAAAAAGATTAGGTAATTATATTTGAATTTCTCCAAATTATAAAAAAAATTAGAAAGCAACTCTTTATTAAATGATCTTATGTTTAACTATTGGGAAAAGAAAGCTTGAAATTAATGCATTAATTTGCTTATGCTTTAAAAAATATATATGCATATTTTTTAAAACATCTAAGAGTTCTTGTAATCTTTAAGCTACTTCTATATATAAAAAAAAAAAATTCACACAAAACATGACACAAAGAAGATCGGATTGGACAAACTCTGGTAGTCGATACCGCGCATCACCACTACCAGATAGCGATATGTGTTCCGGCAAAATTACACTATTCCCTCCCCCCGTTATGGTAGTATTTATTTTTTGTCTTGTAAGTAATTTCATAATATTCACTGAATATTGACAATGCTCGACAAAAGTAGTATTTCTTTTAACAATGTCCTCCTGGAATTTTTCGAAGTTAGTGGATCTGATTAGAAGCCAACCTCGCAACTTAAGTTTTAGGAAATTTTCTAAATATTCTCGGCTTATATGGTAATAAGTTATATTTAATCAATAGGAATTTAAAGAACACCTTTATAGAACAGTAATTTAATATGAGCATTAACCACAATATTTGACTTGAAGCCTGGAGTTACCCCAATCTTGGTAAATTATATGAAAGATAAAGTTTTCGGGTTAGATGATAGCTTTCTACAACAGATAGTTTAAAATATTGAATTATCTCTAGAACATTTGCAATAGGTTTACTGATGCATCACTATCTATAAGAAAGTAGTGGCAAGGAAGAAGAAAAAGATAAGCATTTTTAAATTATACAAGGATTTCATATTTTAGCACTGCTGATTATGCTTAAAATTGATTAATGAGCATTATAATTTGAAGGAAATAATCCTGAAAAATAATAAGTAATAAAATTGCTCTTAATTACATAATAAAAAGAAAGAAACAGATTTGACTACAAAACAGGCTATAATGTTGACGAAACAACATTATCAACCAAAAATTTTGGAAAGTACTTTGAAAGGTACATTTACAAACATATATATATTTTTTTAATGTATGACTTTAAGTTTAGGTGATAATTTATTATTTACTTTACAGCTTGTCTCATTTTTTCATGAGATAGAAATTTTATACTAGTCAAACTAACATACAAACCTGTGTTTGGTGTAGGTGCCTTGACAAACATAAATACTGAAGATACAAGAGTTGACGAATAGCATCAAACTCAAAGCTGACTGTATCTTTAATTAGCTTTTCAACTATACTTGTCTGAATCTGAAATTTTAAAGAAAAAAATCAATGCATAGAAAATTTTGATTAAAATATATATTTGTTTTTTCAGATGTGAATCTAAATAACTTATACATAATGTCGATTTTACAGAACCATTAACCATGGAAAATTTAATAAAAAAATCATAATTTTTTCTTGTCTGATGATTATTAAAAATGCATGAATATGAAACTTTAAAATTATTAAATGACCAAGCAGGTTGAATTTCGCAGAAACATTAAAAAAAATTCCTTGATTTATTCTTGATTTAATCAAAAAAATTACTTGAAAATAGTTAAATTAAATATATTATCGTTAATAAAAAAATAAAAAGGCTTTAATAATAATAATATATATAAAGTACTCATTAAACATGTATTGAAGCAAATAAAATATTTTTGTAAACATTTTTCTATACCGATTATAACTGTTAAGATAAATTTAAATTCAATTAAAAAAATTTTTTGCACAATACATCTAAACAATATCCTTGTTTTAAATAGAAAAATAAGTTACGCAAACAAATATAAATTGAATTAATACAATACTCTTAATTTTTTTACATTTTTGAACTAAGTAGAAATATTATACATTATTAACAATGCTTTTCATTAAGAATAAAAAAAAAATTTAGTCATTGTAATAGATACATAGTTTGTAGTATAATTTAACATTAAAGTAATTATTAATAACTGTTAAATTATGATGAAATACAAAATATTTAAAAACAAAATGTTAAGAGAAATAATATAAATTTAATTTCTTATTTAAATACAACTTGAACATTTCATATTCTCAGTTTGGAATTACCTATTTACTTAGAATTTTTTTTCAATCAGTCACATTAATTTGTAAATTGATATATGACAATACTATTGACAAATAATAATTTTACTGATCTATTTTTTAAATATTTCATATAAAGTGTTAAACTTTTTAAAAGATGCTCAGAGGCAAATAAAAAACTAGAAATATTTTAGTAGCAATTTCCAGTGAAATACCAAGGTCACCAAATTCTCCAGACTTTTAAGTTTTTGGACTTATTTCACTAGTTACATCTCAAGGTTAATTGTTAAATATATTTTAAGCAGACTCTGAATGAACAAGAATAATCCATTTAAAATGTTTTCTGAAGCTGCAAACTACCCGATTTTAAATTTATTTAAGTCAAATATTTTTTTTAGCTGATAAACATAAATAGTTGCCATACTGTAAATAAGTTACGGATTTAGACTTTTATATACAATAGAGAGGTTAAGATGTAAAACATGTCAGTTAAAATATTAACAAAGTTAAAATTGTATTTAACTGCTTCTTCTGCAAAAGTGCTATCAGCTGAACTTTGCATCTGAACTAGTACAGTGTTTTGTAGAGTTCGCTAATAGTAAACAATAATCAAATTAATCTGAAACTGAAACGCAATCCTTGAAAATTGCCAGTGAACCCCCTTCCCTTTGTGTTATGTTTATGAAACTATGTGTGAGCGTACTTCATATTCTAGAAAGTTTTATTATGGAGATTATAATTAAGTTATTAGATTTTTATTTATTCTATTTATTTATTTATTCTATGATTCCACTCTTTATTAGATTTTTGGTTCTTCTCTGTAAACCAGTTGCAAATAAATTCAACAATTTTTATTCAATTAAAAAAGAAAAATTAAATAAAAATATATGACTATCATGTCTTAGGTAAAAAAAAAGTTGAATTTATTGACTGAAAAGTGCAGATTTTTTTAATATTTAATAAATTCTAAATGGTCATAAGCGATTAATCAATTTAAGGAAATTAATATCATGATATTAATTAAGTGTAAAGGTTGCCCTGTTCTGAGCATTATCTTCAGTTTCTTATGTTCCCAGCTTAAGTTAAAAAGATTTACAAACTGAATGGTAAATAGCAGAAGTCTTATTGTAAACAATACAAGTACAATAACAGTATAGGATGGTGAAGCTTTTAAATTAGACATAAAAATATATCAGAGGTAGTAACTGGGAAGTTAAACTGCTAGCGCTATGTGTGCTTAACTTTATATCATAAATGGTATCATAAACCATACATTAGTAGTTCATATTTTAATAAAGAAAAACTGTGTTATTAATATTGAATAACCTTTTCTTTAATGAAATAATAAATACAATTAAAAATAAAATCTCAAATAAAACCTAAGCTTTACAATTTTACCTGTTGTTGACTGTAGTAGTTTGGCACAGACAAAAGTGTACTTTTTTCTTCAAAATTGAAGTCTTTGGTACTTTTCTTTGGAATAATGGTTATTTCATTGACACCATCCCACTCGTTCCCCACATGCTGAGATTTTTCATTATTTACAGAGACAGATTGACTTTTTTCAGAGCTACTCTCACATATATCAATGCTTTCAAGATCTATCACTTCTACTTCTTTTTTCTCAGTACAACAAAGCAAATTGTTGCTAGGATATTTAGCACATTTTGCACTAAGTTTGTCGAATTGCTCTTTAGTTTTGTGAGTTTCTGACCTAGGAGAGGCATAGTTCTTGAGACTTTCATTGTAGTAGTGTTTAGCTTGTTTGCTTTTTGGGGTTGAATTAGATGGATTAGTGTACTTTGGGCTGTAGTTGCCTTCTTGGTATTCTTTTCCACTTTGAGAGGAGCTTCTGCACCTTTTAGTTCCAATTTCCATGGGGAAATCTTTTTCAACAGAGTTTCCAAAGGTAACATCATCATAGCTCAATGCTGATAAAAATTCATTTTGGACAGCAGCTTTATATCTGTTATCTTCAACTGAAATAACGAGGCATTTTTTTTAACAATGAAACATTTTTATATATTAAGAGACATTTATTAAATTTATTTGCAATATAAATTTTTTTGTATTGGTTGAGGCAAGGCATGAATTTCAGTTTAAAAGTTCTAGCCAGACTAAAATTTTTGCTATCCACTATTTACATGAAAAATCTGAACAATTTTTAAAGCTTTATTAGTCACAGTGTGAAGAAACTTTTGGTGATCAAAGCCATAAAAAATGTAGAAAAATTGAAACATATTTATTGCAAAAAATTGCATTTAAAAAGCAGTTGCCATAAGGCTTAATATAATAAAATAAGAAAGCTAACAGAATTGTTTCCATTTTTTAACACTTTATGTGTGTATGCAGCTGCCTTTTAGTATTAAAATCTTATTTGTTAATTACAGGTAAAGGATCAAACTCTGTTACGGAAAGCTTATTTACAGAAATTCTGTACCAATCATTCTGATGAATTTAGGTTACCCCAGACTCATATGTTTCTCAAAGTTTTCTGATCCACTGCATGAAAATGTAAACTTTAGAGAAAATAATGCAGTTTGATTTGCAAGACAAAAGAAACTCGCCAGCTCTAAATATTTGCTCACTAATGACAAGCTGGCAAGTGGAAATTTTGTGCCAAGGTATCTAAGATATAATAAATTTTTAAATGTTTTGGATTTCTTGGTTTTAAAATATTGAAATTTGAAGAAGGTAAACTAATAAAACAAAGATACTAAAATATTTAAATACTCACAAGCTTTAGATGCATTAAAACTTAGTTGCTCTTTTGTACCATTAACTTTATTTATCGGACCACTATTTTCAAAAAAGCTGTTCTTCTTTTGACACTATAAGAGAATAATATGATTATCAAACATAAATTTTAAGCTTCAAGCAAATACTATTATACAATTTCAAGCAAATATCATCTACATTGAAAGCACATAATCTAGTTAATAAAAAAAAATTAAATACACAATTAAAATTTTCAAACTGTTTAACAATTCATTGAAGATTAAAGATAAATATTAATTTTGATCATTCGATGAAAATATTAGGGTCATACAAGTAAGTAATAAAGGAGCTTCATAATATGTACTAATTACTTGTCATTGAAGATTAATGATAAATATTAATCTTGATCATTCTATGAAAATATTAGGATCATACATGTAAGTAATAAAGGAAGTTCATAATATCTAGATAACATAATCTCTAGATAACATCGTATTTTCAAGTTTTTAAGCACTCTAGTTTCTGTAAAGCAAAACAAAACTTAACTATTAAGTTGAATACCTAAAACAACAATGATGCCTTGTACAGTTTCTAATCTAGAACGATACAGGCAAGCCTCATCCATGTTGTAGGCCAAATTCTTTCTGCTATTGCTTACAGATGCAGAGCTTAAGAAAATGTAATGATAATCGTCATTTGTCAAATGTTTAAGAAAGCCCGCTTAGAGAAATACAAGATGCTTCTATGAATATTCTGTTCAGCGAGAAGTGAAATTGAACAAAGCAACCGACACATGGCAATAGGCTTGCCTGATTATCATCAAAATTATGAAATGCTCATTTATAAAAAAAGAAGGAAAAAAAAAAGACAGAGAAATATGAAAAATTCTTCCAGTTTAGTGTTTTTCGTACTTTTAACTAAAAATGATATATAGGATACGTCAGTAATTAAATAGAAAAAAAACTCACCCACAATGTCTTGCTTTCAGTGGAATTACCAAACTACTGTCCCATTTTAGGATATAAATTACAATAATATTTCCCAATTTACTTGATCTAATGTTAGTTTTTTTACCATATTCTCAATGTAAAAGTCAGTTAAAGTATTGCTAGCATCACTGGTTGGAAAGCTGGGGGTAATGAGTTAGAACCTGGCTGCACACAAAACAACCTGCGTGTATGTGCAGCAAGGATCATGTTCAATCTGTCCTGGCAGAAAGTCCTCTCATTGGTTGTGATGCGGAAGTTTGGATCAGTACAGGTACTGTCAGTACAGGTACTGTCTAACCAGGGTCGAATTACATGGCATGTCTACCATGGCCATAACAAGATCAAACTCCGAAAATCTGTCTAGGTGATGATGTCCAAGTTATTTATAGCTAAGCCTAATTTAATGAATTGCAATGACCACTGACCATGACTGCAATGACCACTTGTTTTAAAACTAATCAATTCAATACATTAGTTCAAAAAAAGATCACAGTACAGAGGACTTCTTATGAAGATAAGCTATTTTAACTCATTGACTCAACTAGTAAAGTTCTTTTTATTTTGTAAATAAATTTGAAAAAAAAAGTGCTTTACCTATAAAACTAAAAATTCTATTCAAATAAATAAACACTTGCTCTATGAATATAATGCATTAAACAGTAAGTTACTTTCAAACTTACCATAATCAGATCCTCCATATTTTTTTCAATAATTAGAGAACTTTGCCCTTGTAAAAATTCAGCCATACTTGAGTCTTTTTGTGAATTATAAGGGTTTTCATTGAATGATGTTTCAGCTCGAAGGGGTGAAAAAAGGTCTAAAAAAGTTTAAAATAAGAAATTTATTTATAGAAAAAATGACAAGACTAGTCTGTGTAACGAAAATCCTCAAATTAATTTGCCACAACAAATAAATGTAAAGCAATAAATTAGTAACTAGGATTTTTCTATATTGCAAGCACATAAATGTCAGTTTTACAATGGCAGATTTTTTTTCACTGTTTACTATTCATTAAAAGAGCTTTAATTTTATAAATTAGAATTTTTTTTAAAAACAAAAATAAATAAGCAAATAACTAAACAAGAGCTAAAAAATTAAAAAAAGGTAAAATAAAATATTGAATTGAATCCATGAAAGTCTTTTGGCTATATTTAAAAATAAAACCATTATTTCAAATATAATTACGTAGCTTTTATCATGCTAATAATTCAGTTAATTAATTCAAGAAAATTAATAGTAAAATACAATGAGATAGTTTTACATAAACTTAAATGATTCACACAACTTAAGTATTATATAATCTACAAGTCACAAATGGAGAACAGGAGTAAGATAGGCTTTGTCTATGAGAAAGAGTCAAACGATTCTTTTAGGGCCATTAATAAGGAAATGATAAATTTAAATACCTTCATTACCATAGCCATACATATTTTTTTAAAGATTAGACAATGGCTTTATTGTTCTTTTTATCCAATATTTCCAGCTTAGTAAACAAATGAAAACTATCACAACAATGTCAACGAGCGCCGTCTGCTTTTTTTTATGACAAATTATTTCGCTTCACTCGATCCCAGATTTAAAAAATAAATAAATTACAATTATTTTTTGAAATCCTTATTTTTCTATTAAAATTATAGAAACTTATAAAACTGACAAAATAATTAAGTATATATATTTTTCATTTACATAGGTTTAATAATTATGAAAGTCTTCCATCTATAAATTTAATTTAATTCTAAATGACACAGAGTGATTAGGGTAATGACCGTAACCATGAATTTCATTATTTGTTTTGTTAATTCTTGAAATTTTCGTCGTCTTATTACAATGAATTTATTTTTAAGTTTGATTACCTAAAAGTTTCTGAAAGTTTAAACAGATAGGTGGTATAGATATATATCTATATACTTTTTTTTTTGCCAATATTTAACGATGTCAAAGTTTCATGCAACTGTGCGTGAGTTGCTAGAAGGTAAATCTGGTAACACCTATTAATAGTCATGATATTAGTGAGTGTATTTTTGCATAAAAATTGACGTCACTTTTTTATTAATAAAATAATTTTTTCCAGATGTTTATTGCTTTCTCGTTGACACTCTTCAAAAAGAAGCAATTTCTAATCCGTCCATTGTTCATAAAGAAAAATTGTTATCCCGTTTACGATCTTTGGAGAAGGAGTATCCTGAATTGCATCTCAATTTTGAAAATTTCGATGAATCAACTGTCACATCTGTTCGTCCTACGTCCAGTCCTTTACCCTATGTGGATATGAATGGGGGAAGTCCTTATAGAATTCCATTTGTTCCTGCTAATGCAAATGGTTAATAAATAGTTTAATAACTAGTTATATGTTTATGATATATATATGTATATATATACATATCTTATCATTATATATGTGTATACATTGTGATATATTTTCGTATCGGTACTTGTTTGAGCCAACTACTATCGCCAAGGTGCCAAAGATATTTTAAACTTTCAGAAATGAAAAAAATATAGAGAAATTTGCAGTTTGGTGGTCTAACTGCAAGTAGAGTCCATTTTGTAATTTTTTTTTTAAATTGTTTTTTGCCGTCCACTACCCGAAACTTTGTAATTATTTTGATGTTAGTTCTGATATGGAAATCATCCCCATGTATGCAATTGGCATGGGTTTTTCAAGATTTCTACTGTTTGTAGTACTGAGAAACGAATTACTAAAAACTTTTAGAAACTATGAAAAAGTCCAATTTTGATTCCTTATTTTCTGGCAGATTTTTATTTTGTAAACAACCCTGAAATTTTTAATAATTTTTCAACTCTGTGAAACATTTATTTGGTTTCTTATTAAATTCAAAGTAGTTTTTCTCATATATTTATTAAGTTATTGTTTACAATCTGTTGAAACCTCGTTTCTGGTTACCATGATAAGCATAACGTTTTTATTTTGAAAAAAAAATTATAATTTTGTTTGATAAATTAACATCAATAATAAATGTTAGAACTGTTTAAAAAATATTTGTACAAGATATAACAAAAATCGATTACTGCCCTACTAGATTTTACCACCAATCTTGGCATTAGAAAATTTTCAGAAAGAAAGGATACATGATTGTAAACTTCGACCAATGTTTCATTTGGCATTTTAAAAGTAATATATCATGGAAAATTAGTTCAGTAAGTATGGAAAATTATGGTTATGGATTGGTATTCCTGTTTATGTAGTAAAAAAAAAAAAAAAACATTTGAAATTTTTGCTAGAATATTTTATGGTCTTATAGTTTACTATTTCATATTAAAATAATTCCAAATTCTGCTGCTACTACAAAAATTATGTTTTGAATTATGCTGCAACATTTATGATGATTGAAAATTGTAGAATTTGTATATAAATGTATTCTCTCACTTTTTATCTCCATCATATTTTTCCTAGTCCTGTATAAGCTTTTCAAATCATTGTGTAATATTTTTAATTTCTATTGTTTTATTTTAGTATTTATTTTATTCTGTCATTTAATTTTGATTTCTTTTAACATTGAAACAATTATCATATAACTTAATATTTTCCAACTGCAAATTAAAACTTTTAGATAATTCGTATAAAATCAGTTAATATTTTTTTTTATTTTTATTTTACAAAAAATTTGTATTTTTAAATTTTTGAAATATACAAACCCAAATAGTTCAATATATTTTATTGGTTTATTTATTTTGATAAACTTTTTTATTGTTAACAGTTTACTTTTTGTATAATTTTTGCAATTGAGTTTTCTCTGGCTAAATTGTAATGAATTTCAGTTGAAAAAGATAGCTATGATCTATGCTTTCCTACTAAAGACAAGTCGGATGCTGCTGAAATTCAGTCAGTTACAGAATCTGAGGGTTATGTTTCAGATGAAGGTATGATTTGATTATCGTAATTTTTATGATAATTTTTTTTATTTTAAATTTGCCCTTTTAAGCTATGCATTTTTATTAATTCTGATTTCTGGAATGTTATAGAAAACTTTATTGAAGGATTTGAATGCATGGATTGGTTCTTTACTGAAAATATAAATATTTGTTAATATAACATATGTTTAGAAAGTATTATTTAACACATAAATATGTGTTCATTAAATTTCATCATTTATTTATCCACTTTTTCAATACTTCAATCTTGGTCTTTTTCCGAACCTTGATTGATCATTTTCCACACGACCATTCATTCTGAATGATGTATACAGCAAAAATATCAAGAGTAACTGCTTTTCTTTTCAAATCAGAATAATTAAATTTTAAAATTAATTTTGTAATTAGTTCGTTTAAATTAATTTTAACTGAATTTTTAAAAAATATTTGTTAAGTTTTTGTGCAATACATGCTGAAAGTTACTAGTTTTGAAAATGGGTATTTTTTTATTTGTAAGAATACAATTTGTGACTTGAAGTAACTGTTAAGGCGTTACGTAATGGAGAACAAAAGATGCATTTTGTGCATGACTTTAAATAAATGAGTATTCTTTTTTATATTAAAACGTATTATGAGTTTTTAAAGGTTACAGTAAATATTCTGAATATATTTATCTATAATTCTTTCATGTTTTCATTCATATTAAAAATAAGAAAGTGCAATCGTAGTTGATTTTGTAATTATTGTATTGTAAAAATTTATGTATCTTTTACATTTTTTTTTTCTTTTGTGAAATTGAGTTAATTTTGTGGTATTTTTGTACTTCTCTTGCAATAATACACAAATTTTCACAAATATTTTTGTATACATTTTGTTTTGCTAACTTTGAATTGAGAGCGTTTTAAGATTTGAAATTCTATAATTAATAAAAATAAAAAAACTTACATGTTCATTTTTATTATCATGTAACACTCTTAGAAATGGTGTTATTTAACAATGTCTCATTTGGATATTATTCATTTATTTATAGATTTTGATCGAATTATTCTGAATAAAATGATCAAAATCAGTTGGCTGTAGAAATAAAACTGACAACTTAATATATAATGGAAATAAATACTTATAAACTCTATATTTTTTGTATTTACTTGGATGTCATTTTTATAAATATTTTTAATTTGTAGTTAGAAGCCTCCCAGAAGTATCCGCTAGTGAGTTGTATGCATGTGAGAAGTCTGGATATCTGGATAAAAAGAAAAGAGGTATTTTCAGAAAGATAATTTCTTTATAGCATTCAAGTTTATTCTTTTGTTTTTCATATAATGTCTGAATTGAAACAAAATATATGATTAAACTTAGAAAGTATTGAATTCTTTCAACCCAGATTCAAGTTTTTGATAGGACTTGCTTTCATTCCCAATGTGCTAGTTTATTTTAAGGTTTTTCTGGTACTTACAAAATATATGATTAAACTTAGAAAGTATTGAATTCTTTCAACCCAGATTCAAGTTTTTGATAGGACTTGCTTTCATTTCCAATGTGCTAGTTTATTTTATGGTTTTTCTGGTACTTACGTATTATCCCATCCACCATTTCCGCTGCATCCGAAAATAAATTTGGATGTGGCTTAAATTTATATCTTTTATAATTTTTTGCATGCATCAAGTTATATTTGTATTTTGTCATTTTTATTTCTTCATTTGTTTCTTTTTTTTTTTTTAATTCTGAAAATATTGCTATACACATTGATTATAAAAAAATGAAATTTGAAAGAGTTGGTCCTGTTTTACGTGAGAAATGTTAATCCTGCTATCAATAAAATATTTTTATTATTTTTTATTTTATCACTATGATGTTTCATTTCTTATTTTACCTTTTTTAATTAATAGGTTTTTTAATTAATAATATTATCCTGCAAATGTATCAATTATTAATATGCCATAACAAGTGAAAAAAAAGGCTCTTGAATATTATAACTGTTAATTGATTATCATTTAAGTTTGCTTTAATCTTATTTGTTCAAACACTAATGTTAAAATCAGTTCATGCAAAATTTGTCCTACCTTATAAATTATTTTTGCACTTGTGAATTAGTTTGATTGTATTGTAAAATTATGACTGTGAAATGCTATTTATTATTGTTTTTAAATCTTAAAATTATGTTTAGTTACGCACAAAGAAAGCAACATAATTTTTTACAAATTGGGAGGAGAAAATACATTCCAATTATTGGAAATTTTTCTTCCGATATGTAACTTAGATTTTATATGATTTTTTTTATTTTTCTCAATTTTAATTTAGTTGTATTCGTTAAATTGACAGTAAAAAAATAATTTTAGAAATTATATTTTTACTGTCCAATTTTTTAATGCTATTTAAGAAAGTCAAGAATGACTTAAAGTTAAAATATTTTTAAATGCACACTTGTGAAAATTTGCATAAATTCTGTCTGGGTAAATTTAGTAATGGGTAAATAATAGTAATGATGGGTAAATTTAGGGATTTTTTTTTTTTTTTGAAATTGCTAATTAGAGATAGCTGGTTTTTTCTTAAACTTATCAATTGTTGTGAAAAATACAATGGGTTGTTGTGTGTTGTAAGATGGGTGGTCAATTTAAGGATTTTATTTTGATGAACTATATGAATATGTTTTATGAACTATATGAATATATTATTTTTAACTATACATTATTCGATGCATGATTTGCCTAACAATAGTTTCAATTAATTTTTTAGATAGCATAAAAGGTTGGTTAAATCCCTTCCAAAAGCGTTGGTGTGCCATCAAAGATGGTGTTCTTTATTATTATGAGAAAACTACTGACCGAAAACAAAAAGGAAGTATTATTCTTTCTGGTTATGAAGTTAGAGCTGTTCTAGAGGATAATAAGGATGGGAAAAAATACAACTTTTGTTTTGAACTAGTGTGCCCAGGGCGAAGGACGTACCAAGTAATATACATATTTATATGCAAATTATTATAATTATTTCACTTTTTTTTAAAAATAAATATATCTATGAATAAAATAATTGTGGAACAGTGCTTAAGTTTTAAAAATTTATATTATTTGGAGAAGGACTTAATTTCTGTGAGCAGGAAAATCTGTTAACAAGTACAATCTGTTATCAAAAATTATTTAAATGTTAAATATAATAAAGTTTACATCATGTTTATTTTATTATATAACAGTGTATTTTTACCATAAGACCTTTTTTTTTCAACAATTAATCTCAATCGATTACATGGTTTAGACGGCTATGATCTGTTAGGAACTGTTGTACTTGAGTGTTATACATTTCATCTAAAAACTGTTTCAAAGCCACCAAGCGTATTATAAACAATAATATACATCTACTGTAAAACAAAACATAAAATTTATGTCTGAAGTTTGCTAATTTTCTCTTTTTTATCAAAATAAATAATTTGCTTCAAACAAGCTTTAAATAACACATAATATTTAATGTGCTTAATTTTATATTTATATTTAATGTGCTTAAAATGATACTTATTTGCAATGCAAGAAAAGCTCTCCATTATATACCTTATTTAAAACAAATTACATTTATGAAGAACTTTTTTTTATTATTTTTAAAATTGAATAAACTTCTTCCAATTTTATTTTTTATATGATTAATGACGCAAAATTTTTAATGTTCACACTGAATGGTTTTTCTTTTTATTATTTTTGTTCTAGAAGCATAGTATCTTAGGTTGCCAAATTCAAAATTTTTTTGTAGAATTTGTATACATTTAAGATTTGTTATCATTTGCTCAACTTATTTTAAAATTTAGTGTTGAAAACTATACATACTTTTTTCCCTTTAGTTTTCTGCTCCATCTGAAAAAGACTTGCAACAATGGATTAGTGTGATTGAACAAAACAGTAGAACTTTAAACCTAGGTGAACATTTATTCCTCTTATTTATTTCTCCCTCTCTCTCTGTATATATATATATATATACAGTGAAACCTCCGTTAAGCGGACATTCATGNTAAAAGGTTTTTATTAAATACATTTTAAAAAAGTTGATTCATATTTAAAAATAGTTTAATTAGTAATTTTTTAATTAGCAACAAAAAGAAACGAAAAAAAAAGAGGTCTTAAAAAGCTAACAACTTTTGGCTACATCTCTACAAAAAATAGTAAAGTTACTACACAGTTACTTAATGTAAAACTTAGGTAACCTGCTTAATAACGGCACAAATAAAAAACTTTTTACATTCAACTGAAAAACTCGAAGGACTGTAAATATTATTAAACTTACTTTATTTTTTTTTTTTTTTTAATAATTATTTTCATACTTAGATATTTCTCAGGTAATTATTTGTGATTTTTTGTGATACATTTTGCAGTAAAATAAATATTGAACTTAAAAAAAAAAATAATTTTAAGATATTCATTTTGTATTTTAAAAATTTTTAAAATATAAAATAACATTTTCATTAAATATTTTGAATTTTAATATTAGTTTAAAAATGTTAAATGTTTTTATTGTTTGAAATGAAATGGTTTATAGAAAGTGATGTTTTAAATATAACTTTAATTCATTATTTCTTATGTGAATTTAGATTTTTCTTTATCACAATTGAAATATATTTTTTAGTTTACCGTATTGTTTTTAGACAGAAGAACAATTATTATAAGCATAAATATAATGATACGAGTTAAAGACTTGTTTTTTATGAAGGAGTTTTATTACTTTACTTTGAATTAATAATCTTCTTTGAATTAATTAACTTCAAATAAATAAATCACTTTAGAATTGGTAATCATTCACAGATTTAAATTGAAATTTGTTAATGTATGAAACTTCTTTTTATTTATGCTGATGGCTATAAATTTAGTCTTACTTTATTTACTATTCTTGGTAAATATTAAGAATTATTAAAAAAATATTCAGAACTTATGTTACTTATGTTGAGCAATCAGATAACAAATAGTAAGTGAACTTTATCTTAGACAAATAATTTTGAGTTAATGGATTTTTTATTATTAAAGTGCACTATAGAATATTATTTTAAAATAATTCTACATAATTTTTAACTACTTACAAAATATGATTAAATTAAAGCAAGATGTAATAATAGATTTAAAAAAAATGTGGAAAATGTGTTAAAATCATTATTAAGCTTCTAAATTAACTATAAACTTAACATGATTTAAAAAATAATTTGAAAGTATACCAGGTTTGTAGTTTTTTCCCTCCTTCTTTCTATAGCAAAGTACTTCTGTCTGCTTGTCATTAATCTGTTTGCTTCAGAAAGTATAACAGATTAGAATTCAATTGAGTATCAGTTCAGAACTACCGTATTTTTCGGCGAAAGCGCCGCTTCGTCGCAAGCGCCGCACATCGATAAAAATGAAATTTTTAAAAAAAACGTTATAGTAAGCGCCGCTCCGGCGCAAGCGCCGCAATGACGCTGAACCGCGCATATCAGCATCCTTTTAGAAGAGACCTTTAAATTACCATTTACAATATCTGCATAAAAAAAAATAAAATTTTTTTATGCATTTCATAAGGTAAAGTTTTAATTTCTAAATTATAATATAAAATTTCTTTTTCAGCAAAAAAAAAGCAACAAAAAAAGTTCTCTTTCAGCAAAAAAAGAAAACAACAGAACAATATAAAATAAACAGGGTGGCCACCCACCTGGAAAACCTTGAAAACCTGGAATTATCAGGGAATTTTTTTATACTGGAAAAAACCTGGAAATATCAGGGAAATTTAGATAAAAACATGGAAAAATCAGGGAATTTTAAAGAAAAACTGGAAATGTTTTCTTTGATAATTTTTTTAATTTCACTAATTTAAATTATTTACTAATTTTCTTAATTTAAATTATTTCATCCATTATACCCACTCTTTTTAAACGGAAATGTTTCGCTAAACAGTTGAAATATCATCAACTTAGCGATACTTTGCTTGTGCATCAAAATTTGCTCCATTACAGCTCTGTTAAACTAGAACTACACATAAAATTCTCCCACGGTTGCCTTTGATCGCTATGGGACTGTGCAATTTAGGAAAGATTCTGGTGGAGATGGAAAAAGGGATTAGGATATTAGCTTCTGTTTTTAAATTCTGTCCTTGGGCTGAATCCATTTATGGCTCAAGTTAGTTCCAATACTTTGGTCGTAATTTATTTTTTCTATTTTGACAATATGTTTTTGTATTTTTAACTTTATAAAATTCTCCAAAAATTGTTGGCTATAATTTAATAATAATAGATTTTATAATACACTCTTTTTCTGAAAGCTTTTCTACTCCCATTCAAAGAAATTTGTGAATTATTTTTTCTCAGCAAACTAACCAATCACACATTTTTTTACAATCGCTAACAGCAATGTTTGTCGACAAATCGTTACAATTGTTGCATTAATGCTAATTTTTTCTATTTCATTTTAACCTTTTATAAAATATTTTTAAAAATTGTTTTTTTTAAGAACCAACTATATATTAATATTTAATTTTACTCTTTTGTTGGTCAATATATGATTTTTGATTCAAAATTTTGTACCAAAACATTTGAAAAATAAATAAAAAATTTTGCCAAATTGCCGAAATAAATTATTTTTCTCAAGATGATATGTTAAAAAAATAACATTTTGAATAAAATATTTTATAATATAGACACTTTTCTTGTACACATCCTATACTTTATATGAAAAAAGAAACAAAAACCTGGAAATTTTATGATTTTTATCTGGAAAACCTGGAAAAATCAGGGAAATTTGAAATCGGATTTGAGTGGCCACCCTGTTA